CTACTACTACTACTCCTACGACTACGACTACGACTACTACTACTTACTACTACTACTACTACTACTACTACTACTACTACTACTACTACTACTACTATTACTACTACTACTACCACTACTACTACCACCACTACTACTACTACTACTACTACTACTACTAGTACTAGTACTAGTACGACTACTACTACTACTACTACTACTACTACTACTACTAAAAATAATAATAATAATTACTGCTGGTAACTACTACTACTACTACTACTACTACTACTACTACTACTACTACTACTACTACTACTACTACTACTGATCTCCATTCCCCACCGCCCTCCTCGATGCTACCCCTCCCTGCCCTCATCCTTATCAAGCTCCCGCAATACCTCTCATTTTGCATTTAAAGGTACCCTCTCCATTCCACTGAACGCCCCAGATGCGACAAAAAACGAAAAACCTGAATTGTCTGGGGAGTACATCTCTCTGGATAAGCTACGAACCCTCGACAGTCATCTTTCGACCGCAAGGAACGCATACTACGGAACGAAAGGCTTCTCTGGCAACGGCGGGCCTAGGCCACAAAAAAACTCCACGACATGAAGTCTCAGGAACGGCCCGGAAACCCGAGGCCCCTCCTGAGCCCAGAGCGGTCCTGATTTCAGTGTCTTGGCTGTACCTCTTCGGATAGACTAAGAGACCCCTCTGGATTCAGCTCTGCCTCGCAGCCCCGGTCCCCAGCCTCGAGGCTCTTGCCGTTCACGGCCTCCTGCACGAACACCCGCATCATTTCGCGGAGCTGCAGCCGCTCCTCTGCGGAGGATGAATGGACGATGATATAACAACAACGCTACAAAAATGGAGAGACAGCGAGAGGAGGAGCGGAATGTTGGGGAGGGGCAGGAGGAAAGCAAGGGAAGGGACACAGAGCAGGGCAGGACAGCCAGAAACTCCCGAGGACTGCAAGAGCTGATATAATAGTGTCAGCCGTTTTGCGGAGTGTTTGAACAGACGTCACACCAAGATACACACATGATTGGCGATTGAGATCCCGCGCAGACCTGTGCTGCAGCCGTTGCTCGTTGGTTTGTCAGCGGATTCCGCAGCGTTGATCGCACTCGTATGCGGAGAGGCGAAACTTTGCTGAAAAGTGTATGGGCTGATGTTGCGCACTTCTTGGGCATGCCTGACAGGGTGCGGGATCTGTAACCGCAAAAGGGACTGAAACACGTGATCCTTGTCAAAGCGCGATCACCGTGACTCGCGCTGAAATCGAGCTAGGGGCCACCAAACTCAGTGTGATGTCTCTGTTCTGCGAAGGCTCCCAAGCTTTGACAGTCCGGGGCGAAAGGTCCCGGAAAGGGCACGTCTGAGCCTGTTCTCACTGCGCTCTGCCCGCCTGCAGAGCCCACGAGCCGCCCAGTAAGAGCAGAGCCTTCGCGCGCAACCTGCGCGCGCTCCATATCCAGCTGCGCATGGAAAGCAGCACCCGCACCCTGCGGAAAGAATGATAATCATTTGAAAACAATTGTTCGGGTCGACTGGCAACAAGTGCAACGGCGTGCCGAGTATAGTCATATCCACGGCGAACAAGCGATGCGCTCATGCAGCCCGCAAACGAAATCGGACCTGTGTCGCACGCCGCCATGCACGTGCGCCGACTATGACCGCTTGTTGTTGGCCAGCGTCGAGAAACTCTTCGCAAGTGTGTTGTGCATTTGACGCTCCTCAATGTAGAGTACTGGTTGGGAACTAATCGTGGCTGCCATTGCTAAAATGTATCAGTGCTGCTCGCTCCACGCATCTCTACTCACGCGTTGCATGGCCCGATGTGATCGGCAACTGCATTACAAGATAGGAGCGTCAGATCGGCACGGCTGACCCCTGCGAGCACGGACAAATTGGATTGTGAGAGTGGACGCTGTCATCACCCTATGAGAACCCCAAAGCAAACCCGAAGTCTTTCGCAATACGCGATACACTCTGCGGCTGGCATCCGCAGCCACCAGACAAGCGACGAGCGGCAGCACACCGTGCCCGGTCAGGAGACATGGGAAACAACTTCCACGGGATGCTCCAGCTTTTCCCAGCCTGAGGCCCCCACTCTCCGCGCCATGTGGCAGGCCCCGAGGCCCTCTGGAAAGGGTGCTCTGGAGGCCATCTGTCGCCGCGCCGCCTATTCTCGACGCGCGCGACACCACGGCAAACCCATGGCAAACCCACGGCAAGCCTACGGCAAGCCCACAGCAAGCCCACAGCAAGCCCTGGACCTGAGGCGGCGCTTGCCCTTTGCCCTGGTGGCCGCGGCGCCCAAGAAGGAAGGCCACGCGTCGGAACAAACGGCGCGACGACATACTCGCCAGCGCTCGGACGTCCATTCCCCGTACATGGTTCGGCTCCCTGCGATTATTGTTCGCAGGATGATCTGAGATGCTCCTCGATGGTCACCGCCTGGAAAAGTGCACACGTCCGAGCGATGCCAAGCATATGGGCCTCCATGGGAAAGCTGGGGCCACCGTGGGCGAGGGCCAAGGGCCACCTCCAGCAACGCCCAAGCTGCTCGCCGTGGCAGCGCGCTGCAGTGCCAGCGGACGCAGGGGCGCGAGAGCCAGAAGCTGAGGCACAACAGACGGCGTGAACATGAACTTTCGGAGGTCCGCGCGGATTTCTTGAAACGGCGCCAGAGCGCACCGGGGGCGGCGCCCGGGGCGCAGCCAGTGCGGCCCAGCGCCAATGCGATAGATCCGCGCGGAGCTCAGGAAGAGCATGTGAATGCCTCCTCCTCCTCCTCCTCCTCCTCCTCCTCTGCCGCTTGCTGCTTCTGCGTCGAACTCTGCGCAGCAGCAGCTTCGGCTGCTCGGATAATCCCCAGCGGGCGGCGGGCACCCCGCACGCAAAGAGAGGCAGAGAGAGAGAGAGAGCGAGAGCACCGCAGGCCAGTCCTTGCGCGGGCTCTGGCACTGCGTGCTCTGCTGGCTCGCCTCCTCCACGTCGTGCTGCCGGCACCTGTAGGCATTGCGCGGCGCGGCACGCCGCAAAGGTCTGGCGGGTACGGCGTGCGTGCAGCGCGTCTGGCGCGACCACGCCAGGGAAGCCATCTGTGTTCCTCCAGCGCGCGGTGGTGGTGGTGGACCACCAGACGCGGCATGGCTTTGCGGTGCTCTCACCTATCGCTCTACATATCTTGCCTTGCACGGCTACGCCGGCCACCAACAGCTAGAAAATGAAGAAGACGACAGGACATGATATAATCCGCCGACTCTGTCGGCGTGTGTGGGGGGGGGGTCCGGGGGTGATCGTGTAGGTGTTGTCCAAGCAGAAGCTTCTCAATTCGAAGCTCTCCCCCCCTCTCCGTGCAGCCACCTGGGACTCTGCAAGCTCGCCAGCCCGAAGTGAATAGACCGATCCCATCGACCCCTGCCCCGCTAGAGGGGAGACCACGCAGGGAGGGTCCAGGGGGGGGGTCCGGGGGAGGATGCTGGGGGGGGGGCGGGGTCCCAAATCGGTGCGGCCATCCGCCTCCCCCCGCCCCCCTCCCTGGAGTGACTCGGGCGACCTTGGGGCCGGTTTGGCCATCTTCGGGCCACCCGGGCACGTTGAAGCCCTCTCGGAGTCAGCCTCGGCACTCTTCGGGGTATCGCGGTCCGTCTTGAAGGTCCCCAGGGCTGGCCCCAGAGGCCAAAGTCGGCTGGGCCCCTGAGTTCTTGTGTGATGCAAACGTTCTCGCCGCATCGGTCGCAAGAGGCGTACAACTCCAAGGGAGACCCAAGAGGCCCTCAAAAGTGGCCCAAGGCGGGCCCAAAAAGCACGCCAGCGTCTCACAAATGTAAGCCAATCCCTCCGTCATGGTCCCAAGACTCCCAAGAGGCTCACAAGAGGCCTACAAGAGGCCCAAGAGGTCCCAAGATGCACCCAAGTGGGCCACAAAGGCCCCCCAAGATCCCCCAACAGATCCAAATATCTTTGAAACACGACCAAGGCGCAGTGGCGGGAAAGGCCGAGGACCTTTACGTACATGTCCACCCTCGCATGAAAGCTGCCACTGCCCCTTGCCCCCGTCGCATTACGCTCTTGGTCTAAAGCCGCTCACTTCTCAGGGTCGGCGCAACCAGCCGAAAGGCCTTCGCATTGAAACAAGCAAGCTCTCAGAAGGCACAGCCTGGGAGCAGGGGATGGAGGCGCAGGCGGTCAGCAGAACATTGAGTGCAAACACTCTCTGTGCCGCGTCCGCATTGGCATTACATCTCCAGCTTGATCTCGACAGATGCTTCAGTAGACCACACAAGCGCATGCTTGCATTCATACATAATTACTGAGATATGGAAGGGTTGACCATGATCGTCGCCTTCTCCGCTTGCCATTCTTCGCCCCTACTTCATAAGACCACCCCCAGCAGCCCCACTGGCCCTGCTTGTCGCAAGCGCTGTTTCTAGAAACCCCTACCAGCCACACTGTGTCTACTGAACATGTCTGCCGAATGAGATGGCTGCCGCCACCTGCCCGTACGAGCACCTCGTAAATCCTGTTAGTCCCATTGGCACTGCTTGTTGCCAACGCTAGCAGCCGCCACTAGCCTTGCCCAGCCCCTCCTGAACCCACTAAACATGCTTATCGCAAACGCTGGTCGCCCGCATTAGCCCTTACCACCCCGCGCACAACTTCACTAGCCACGCTCGCTTGCCGCCAGTGGCCCATACTAACCCCACACCGCCTGTTGTTCGGCGTGGGTGCCGCCAGCACAGGTTTCCTTCACGAGCCCCACTGATCCCTGACTGGCCCCCGATAGCACCACTGATATCCGCGTGACGCGAAAACTGGCTGCCGCAACCTAAGCTGTACCAGACCATGAGCAGCCCCGCTGGCCCCTGCCGAATCAAGCCAAAAACTGGTGGGGGATCCGCGCGTTGAAGCCATTTGGCGGGAAAGCTGGATACCGAACGACCAGCCAAAAAGCCTGTGGGACAACTCGCTGTCCCTCTCCTTCTGATCATCCCTTCCCTCTCCCTCTACCTGTCTCTCCGTCTCTCTGACTCTCTGTGGTCTCTTTTTCTCTCTGTCTCCATGTCGCTCTCGTCTCTCTGACATTATCTCTCTCTCTCTCTCTCTCTATTTCTCTTTCTCTCTCTCTCTCTCTCTCTCTCTATCTCTCTCTTCCTCACTCTCACGCTCACTCTCTCCCTCTCTCTCTCACTCTCCCACTCTTTTTTTCTCTCTCTCTCTCTCTCTCTTTCTCTCTGTTCTGTTCTGTTCCGCTGCAATAAAGACCCCATTGAGAGGAACAGCTCCTGACGACACTCGGCCGACTATACACTGCTCTCTCTCTCTTTCTCGTTTTTTTTTTTTTCTCTCTCTCTCTCTCTCTCTCTCTCTCTCTCTGTCATATATATGTGTGTGTAGAAATATCATTGTGTGCTTCTTTCTCTCTCTCTCCTTCTCTCTCTCTCTCTCTCTCTGTCTCTCTCTCTCTCTCTCTCTTTCTCTCTCCCTTGCAAATACTATCCAAACGAAGCTGGCACTTAAAGATCCTCCCGTGTCTTTGAAGAATTGGCTGGGATCGGCGAAAATTTTCCACATGGCCGCCTCGTTGCCGCCTCGTTACCGCCTCGTTATCGCCTCGTGCGTTGGGAGGGTCTGGCGAGGCTTCCCCACGTAGCCGCCAGTTGCCGCCCGGTCCGCTGAAATTTCGCCACGTTGCCGCCCGGTGCCGCCTCGTTGCTGCCTCGTGCGTCGGGTGGGTCCAGCAAGGTTTCGCCACGTTGCCGCCCGTTGCCGCCTGGTTGCCGCCTTGTGCGCTGCGTGGGTTCTGGCGAGGTTTCGCCACGTTGTCGCCCGCTGTTATGTCGTAGACGTCCCGTGCGCTGGACTTGTCCGGCGAAGTTTCGCCACGATGCCGCCACTTGTCGCCCTGGTTGCAGCCTCGTGCCCTGAATGTGTCTAGTAAGGTTTCGCCACGTTGCCGCCCGTTGCCGCCTCGTTGCCGCCTCGCTGCCGCCTCGCTGCCGCCTTGTTGCCGCCTTGTGCGCTGGGTGGGTCCGGCGAAGTTTCGCCACGTTGCCGCCTTGTTGCTGACTCGTTGTCGCCCTGTTGCCGACTGGTGCGTTGGGTGGGTCAGGCGCACTTTCGCCACTTAGCCGCCCGTTGCAGCCTGGTTGCCGCCGCCCATTGCAGCCTCGTTGCCACGTTGTTGCCGCGTCGTTGCCGCCTCGTGCGTCGGATGAATCTAGCCAGGTTTCGCCACGTAGCCGCTTTCTGCCACTTCGATGCCGCCTCGTTGCCGCCTCATGCGCTGGGTGGGTTTGGCGCCGCAACTACATGGCACCGCGTAAATTACGCCACAAAGTTTGCACCACATAGTTTGCATCACATAGTCCGCACATCCACAATGCAATAGATGACTGGTTGGGGCCCACGGTGGGTAACGTACATATTCCCTCGGACCGTCTCCCAAAGAGGAAAAGAAGCATCATGCAGCTGATCGCCTCTGGGCTGCGTCGGGTTGGTCGTTATATCCTAAAGACGCGGCGCGGCGGCACAAGCAGTGTGATTTCACTCGCTTGCCGAATGCTCCAAACATGCTCACATTTCAACGGGCGGCACAAGACAAACTTCGTCAAGCAAGACTGCCTTGAGCATTCCAGAATGAGTCTGCGGACTAATTCGAGTGCGTCGGTCGAATTGCCTTTAAGCTAGAAGCTTACGGCATCGAATGTTCGCGTACCGCCTGGCCAGTCCACGCCATTACTCCTAGCACGAGGCGTACTTCTCAGAATTGGCCGCGCACCTCAAGGTCTGCAACCGCACAAGTCTGAATCGTCCACCTCGGCCCACTTAGGTTAAAACCCGACCGCCATCAGAACCGCCATCAGGAGCACTGCTAAGAACATACGTGCGCGGTGCGTTGCTGCACTGCTGCTTCCCGCGTGCCCATCGCGCCTCCTTGATCCGATTCAGGGGCACCGCCCTATGAAATGTCTGAAAGACGGACTGGCACCCACACAACGCCACCCTTGCATGGCAAGGCGCGCGGTCGTTTTACGTCGCAGCACCGCAGAGGCAGCCCGCACGCGCGCTCGGGCAAGCCTGGAGACAGCGTCGTTCATTTTCCGGCGGCACGGGCGAAAAAATGAAGGAGGAAGCGGCCGGCCGCGGGGCGGGGGGGGACGAGGAGAGCGCCCACGCCGCGGGGGCCGCCGCGGAGCGGCCGGGGCGGCTGGTCGGCGCTGTGCCCCTGGCAGCGGGCGCGGGGCATCGTCGCGTCCACGCCCGCGGGCTGGGGCAGCGGCTGCCGCGCGCGAAAAAGAAGTGCAACGGCAGAGAGTGCAGAGCCAAGCCGGCGATGTCCCAGCACAGCGGGGCCCCGAGGAGGCAGCATCCCAGGCGGCAAAATGCAGCAGGACTGGCGCTGGGCAAACTGCAGGGAGTGGGCAGCGCTGCCACCTGTAGCCCCCCAGGCAGCCTGGAAGGGGAACGGGGCCCACCAGAGACACGCCAGCACGGAGGCGACGCTGCAACTGGCAGGGGCGCACTCGCGCGTCCAACCCGCAAAGCCACGACGGCGGGACCCGGGGCCGGCCGTTGAGGGCGGCGGCGGGGCCACCGCGGAGTCCCCGGTGCCCGCCCAGCGCACCTGCGGACAGGCAAAGACGCCCGCGCGCCGACCAGAGCCAGCGACGCGACGGGGACGGCAACGAACCCGAGCCCCGGCCGGCGCACGCATCACAGCCAGGGGCGGGCGGCACCCATCCCCCACGGGGGAGCAGGGCGAAGGCTCCCAGCGGCGGAGGCGGCGGGAAGGAAAAAGAGGGCGGGGGGGGCCGGCCCTGGTCGATGGCAAGCAGCACCCCAGGGCCAGATGGATGTAGAAAATAGATCGGCTGTATGATGAGTTCGACGAGAAAAAATCGGAGCACGTGCGTAATGAACCTCAACAAAACCGACAAAACATCACAGTATTATACGGTCGTGATACTACTGTGGGTGAGTCGTTGTCTACCGAAACACTAACTATTTCTCACCTTGCGGAGCAGCACCCATCCACTGGCAGCAAGTGTTTCGCACGCCATTTGCAACCCGAACGAACCTGCGGCGGACAGCGGGAAGACAGACAAGCGGCCGACGACGACGATGACGACGACGACGACGACGACGACGCTGGCCGGCACATGGTCCCGGCTGACGCGGGGCACCCGGGGCCCACGCGGGCGGCGCGCGCGCCACTCAAGGACCACCATACTGCTGGTGGTAGCACCCCAGCAAGGCAGCGGGAGGCCGCCCCGAGTCCAAACGCTGAAAGGACGCACCTCATCGGCGCACGGGCGGGCGCGTCAGCTGCGGCATTGCCGGGGGGGGGACGCCCCAGGGGGGCGCGCCACCTAGGGTGGATGGCGCGCCCCAAAGGAAAGGAAAGGAGGCGGACCGCTCGGGGTAGATGGCGCGCCCACAAGGAAGAAAGGAAGCACCTGATCGGTGCGCATTCAGGTATAACAGCAAGGGCGCCGCCAGGGAAGGGAAGCGCCGCGGGGGGCGGGAGGCGCACCACCCGGAGTGGATGGCGCGCCTCAAAGGAAGGAGGGCGCACCACCTGGGGTGGATGGCGCAACCGAAAGGCAGCACCCGATCGAAGCACAAGCAGGTGGAACATGGGCAAGGCACCTCCTGGGATGGAAAGCGCCCAGCCGCTCTCGCAAATTTACCGTTGAACTCATCATCGGCCAGGTTCGCCCAGGGCATGGAGCGCACTGTGTCCGTCCTGCCCGATGGGCGAACCAGGTCTGCGGCTAAAGGCCTCGCATCTGGGACTGGTCCCCGGAGGGCCACGAGGCGCCGCTGGGCCGCTTGCCGCCCTGGCCTCTCCCGCCGGCAGTCTGGACCTGCCGGCCCTGTTGCCGCTGCCGCGCGTCGCCCCAATCGACTTCCAGGTGGACAGAGTGCCAGGCCTGCCACGCTTGGCGAGCCCGAAACAGACGGCTCTCCCACCCCCGGCGCACCCCCTGTGGTGTCGAGGGAGCGCAACGCTTGCCACGCTTTTCGAGCCCGCCGCGCGTGTGTTGCATGCATCTGGTGCGTGCGATGCGCCAGGAGGAGTGCACGTGCGCGCGCAGATGCATTGCGTGCATGTCGAGCGTGGAATCGGCACGACGAGGAAAGGGAAGGAAGGGTGAGGAGGGGAGGCGGGGAGGTGAGACGCGGGCGCGACGCGGCAGAGAGAAAAGCCAGAACCCCACGAAACCGATGGGGAACAACACGTACTGGGTGCCAGGCTGGATGTGGACGCGTGCCTCATGTGGGTGCCCAGTATGTTGTGCATACGTCTTGGGTGCTTGGTGCAGTGAGAACGCCAAGGGCGCACTGGCGTTGCATGGTACGCGTGCGTATGCGAGTGGCTGCATGCACACCCACGTCTCATGCACGTGCCGCGCATGCGTTGCGCGTGGGTGAGGGAGGGAGGAGGAGGAGGAGGAGGGGAGGTGGGTGAGACGCGGGCGCGACGCAGCACCGAAGAAAACCATAACCCCACGAAACATTTGGGACAAAAAACAAACAAACAGACAGACAAACAAACAGACAAACAAACAAACACAACAACAACAACAACAACAACAACAACAACAACAACAACAACAGCAGCAGCAGCAACAACAACAACAACAACAATCATTTTAAGACTGTTCGCTCTTACTTGCCCGCGTGCCATGCAACGTGTATACCCACGCCCTCGATACCCGCCCCCTTCGTCATCGAGCGCACCCCCTTCTGGGGGGATTCTTTCTTTTTGCGGGGGCGGGCGGGCTTGCACAAGCGGGCGTGAACGGGCGGGGAATTATTCGGAGGATGGGGCGCGCATCTCTTTGCCCACCATTGGAATTAGCGCGGGCCCTGCAAGAAGAGGAAGGGGGAGAACGAGGGAGAGTGGGAGGAAGGGAGGGGGAGGGACGAGGCTAAAGGGGAACACGCCAGGAGAGAGGGGGCGAGGAGGGGGGGGGGGACGATTGGAGATAGAGAGACAGAGGAGGGAGGAAGGAGGAGGCTGGAGAGGGGAGGGCGAAGAGAGGAGGGAGGAGTGTTATGGGAGGAGGGTGTGGGGAGAGAGGAAGAGGAAGGAGGAGGGTGGATATGAGGGGGAGGGGGGGGAGGAGGGAGGTTGGATGGGGAGGAAGGGGCAGGAGGGTAAGAGTGTGAACGTTCGAGGAAGTCCTAGGCGAGGGCGTATTCCTCAAGGAAGAGTTGGGCGGGAGCGGGGGTCCCGAGTACATTGTCGGACGTCTCAGGCGGGGGCGCCGGTCGGGCGGGCGGACCCTGGCGGGCGGGTCGGGCGGGCGGGACATTCAAACAAGATTTCTGCGTAAATCGCGGGGAAATATTAAGCGAGAGCGCGATTCCTAAGTAAATTGCGAGGGCGTCCTTGGCGCGAGCGTGGTTCCTGAGCGTCGAAAACGCTATGCTGCAATAAATTGTGAGGAAATCCTACGCGAGAGCGCCATCCCTGAGTAAATTATGCGGAAGTCTCGGGCGGGAGCAGGGGTCCTGAGTAAGGAAGTCTCAAGCGGGAGCGCCGTTTTAAATAAAATGTTTAAAAATCTGAAGCGGGGGCGCCCTTCCGGAGTAAATTTTGAGGAAGTCTCAGGCGGGAGCGGGGGTCCTGAGTAAATTGTGAGGAAGTCTCAGGCGGGAGCCGTTGTTGTTGTAGTCCGGGGCCCAACAACGCAATCTGATCCGCAAGGTTTTCCCTGACAAAAAACAGGGTGCCAGCCCCGGAGGAAGCACTTCAATTGAAAAAAAACAATGGGCACCGGACAAGGGGGATCAAGAATAATTATTCTTCAGAAATGAAACTTCAACCACAACAACAACAACAACAACAACAACAACAACAACAACAACAACAACAGCAGCAGCAGCAGCAGCAACAACAACAAATACTATATGACTGTTCGCTCTTACTGGCACGCGTGCCTTGCACTCCGTCAACCCCGCCCACTTCGTCTTCGATTGCACCCCCTTTCGGGGGGATTCTCTCCCTCGTCGGCCACTGACTGAAGTGCGAAGAAGGCTCGAGCGAGAGCGCCGTTCCTGAGTTCGGGGGCCTCTCTGGCCAGGGGCTCTCGGCATACCTAAGGAGAAATATCGAACGGGAGCCTTTGTCGCCGCGCCCGGGCCTCCACCAACTTGCTTGAATTACGGAGAAATCTCGAGCAAGAGCGCCGTTCCTGAGTTCGAGAGCCTTCTTGGCCAGGGGCACTCGGAGTAAATCGTGAGGAAGTATCGAGCAGGAGAGCCCTTGTCGTCGCGGCTGGGCCTCCGCCAACTTAATGAAATTTCGAGTATGTCTCGAGCGACGGCGCCGTTCCTGAGTTCGGGAGCCTCTCTGGCCAGGGTGTCTCGGGGCAACTTGTGCGGAAGTATCGAGCGGGAGCCGTTGTTGTCGTAGCTGGGCCTCCAAGGGCCCACGTTTAGGTTCAAGCCAACGTTCGAGCGGGAGCCTCGTTTTCAGAGAAATTGTAGCTGGCGTCGCGGCGAGAGCACGCGGAACCGTGTCAGGAGATCAGCAATAATGATTCTTTAGACAGGAAGCAACAACAACAACAACAACAGCAAGAACAAGAACAACAACAACAACAACAACAACAACAACAACAACAACAACAACAACAGCAAGAACAAGAACAAGAAAAAAACATTCTAAGACTGCTCGCTCTTACTTGCCCGTGTGCCATTCAAAACGAATTCCCGACACCATCGATACCCGCCTTTTTT